CACACACACACACACACACACACACACACACACACACACACACACACACAAATACACCTATGCATATGTAGTAATTTCAACTTTTTAAAAAGTGTTTCTCTGCTGGGCGCAGTGGCTCACACTTGTAATCCCAACATTTTGGGAAGCCAAGACAGGAGGATCACTTGAGGTCAGAAGTTTGAGATCAGCCTGGGCAACACAGCAAGACCTCATCTCTACAAAAAAAAATCAGAAAACTTAGCCAGGCACGGTGGCTTACACCTGTAGTCCCAGCTACTTGGAAGGCTGAAGTGGAAGGATCATCTGAGTCCAGGAGGTCTAAGCTGCAGTGAGCCATGATCATGCTACTGCACTCCAATCTGAGTGACAGAGTAAGTCCCCAACTCAAAAGAAAGAAGGAAAGGGAAAAAAGAAAGGTGGGGAGAGGGAGGGAGAAAGGAAGGAAGGAATTGGGGAAAGAAAGAGAGAGAGAAAGGAGGAAGGGAAGGAGGGAGGGAGGAAGGAAGGAGCTGAGGTTGTGATAACTTGCTCAAAATTACACAGAGCCAGTTGGGGCTAAGACTCACACCCAGGCTATCTGGTTCCACACTAATATTCTGCCTCCCAGAAGGGAAAGAATTATCTGCTTCCTAAATGGAAAGTTCCTTGCAAATCTATAATAAATTTTAAAAAGCCCAAGTACTTAACCAAACAGCCATCGAGTGAAAAAATAGCATAGGAATATTGCTTCAGAGGAAGTGCATACTCGTTAATCTCCTCCCCTCCGTGGTCCATTTTTCTTTCTAGCTCCAAGTCTAACCAATAGCATGTTTCGTACCCCTGTGATACTGATCACCCTGTCATTTCCCTTCTCCCAGTCGATGGCTCTGAGCTCATCGGATTCCACCGTTCCCAGCAGCCAACACAAGTGCTTGCCTCCGGCTGGTCCACCAGGAGCCACACCCACCAGCCCAGGAGCACCCCAGTGCTGATTTTCACTGGAAAGGCCAGGGTCTGCCCCTGACACGGTCCCTGTGGAATCATGTCATCGCATACCCCAAAAGCAAATTGCCTCAGCACTTCTGGCCTTTAAAAAAAATATTCTCAGTCACATTTTGCAATAAACTTTTTTTTTCTGGGATGGTCCAGATGAGGGAAACCAAAAACACAACCCAACAAAAAAGATACTTCTAATTTTCCTTTCTTGCCTGGGATCAGTGTTTTCAGTCTTCCAACAGCCTGTCTCCTAGAAGATGAATTCCTTCATTTCCAAGATTTCAGGAAATGTTTTTCACAGTCTAGTTGTTTGGCAAAGTGATTCTGTCACATGCCACAGGAAGAAGGGAGTCATTTTTCATCACCACTTGAGACTCAGTCTCACAACCACCTGGTCCATGTGATGACACTGTATTTTATCCCAAGTCTGATGTTTCCTTGATATGACTACTTTATTTTATTTTATGACCTCAGCCTCCGGAGTCACTAGACTACAGGGGTGCCACCACTCCTGGCTATGACTAATTTAATATGTCTTCACAGATATAAATCATCCACTAATTTGTATACATATCAATCAAATGCTCACAGTGGATGTGAGAATTTTCTAAAATACTCCTAAATGGATACATGGTTTCTATCACCTCATGTGATAATCTGTATTTGATACTTTAAACCTCATTTCAATGACGTGTTGTATTTTGTCTTTATAAAATTGGCACATGTCTATTTTGAAAAAATTAGAAAATGCTGAAAAAAATAAGATGAAAGTTAAAATCAACCATAATCCCACCAACCAGAACTACCTGTAACTATTTTAGGATGTGTGTGTGTGTGTGTGTGTACTCATGTTTAACCATCTTTTAATTTAAAACATTTTATCTAATTTGTATACTCATTTTACAAAATTGAGATATCCCAGCATAATCTTTTAAAAGATTCCAACAGTATTATTGGGAGTGACGGTTGAGTTTCATTCACAGGAAATCTGGATTGGAAAGATACTTTCCCCATAAAACATCACTCAGAAAAACAGTTGCTTCAGCTGGGCACCATGGCTCATACCTCCAATCCCAGCACTTTGGGAGGTGGAGGCAAGAGGATTGCCTGAGCCCAATAGCTCGAGACCAGCCTGGGCAACTTGGCAAGAGCGCGTCTCCACAATAAATCAAAAATTAGCCAGGAGTGGTGGCGCATGCCTGTAGTTCCAGCTACTCGGAAGGCTGAGGTGGAAGGATCCTTGAGTCCAGCAGGTCAAGGCTGTGGTAGCTGTGAGCGTGTCACTGCACTCCAGCCTGGGAAACAGAGTGAGACTCCAACATAAAGAAGAGAAGGAAGGAAGGGAGGGAGGGAGGGAGAAAAAAGAGGAAGGAGGGAGTAAGGAGAGAAGAAAAAAACACTGAGCAAGACAGCCAGGTGTCTCCCAGCATTTCTCACCCTCATCTTCGGTAACAGGCCCTTCACCACGTCCCGTTGCTTTTTATCTCCTAACAATCTCTTGACCTAGTCCATTTCCTCCTTTCTTAGATGCTATGTTATTTATTCATTCAACAAACACATACGGAGTATCGCATGTGAGCCAGGCAGCATCTGGGGATACCACAGTGAATGAAACAGAGACCCTTGACCTGGTGGCACTCACATCCTGGTGACCCCAAGTCTGAGGACCATCTCTGTCTCCTGGGTCAAAGTAGCCTTCTGATGGTCTGCCTGCATTCTCTATGACCAGAGGTTTGTGGTATGACAAAGATGATCATGTCTTACCAGGCACACCAAGACTGAAAGCATCCTTGCGTTCTTAGGAAAGATAACACTTCTTAAAATATATCTATATTTTAATCAAAGTCAACAATTAATTTGATCCCTTCCTTCCTACTTAGCTTGAGGCACCAAGAATATAACAGCAAATCACGGCCGGGCTCGGTGGCTCAGCCTGTAATCCCAGCACTTTGGGAGGCCAAGGTGAGTGGATTGCCTGAGCCCGCGGGTTCGAGACCCACCTGGGCAACTTGGCGAGACCTCATCTCTACAATAAATCAAAACTTAGCCGGGCATGGTAGCGCGCGCCTGTAGTTCCAGCTACTTGGAAGGCTGAGGCGGAAGGATCGCCGGAGCCCAGCAGGTCAAGGCTGCGGTGGCCAGGAGCGGCCACTGCACTCCCGTCTGAGTGACAGAGTGAGACTCCAACTCAAAAAAAAAAAAAATAGCAAATCACACTCACAGGCCAAGTGTTTACAGTCCAGCAGGGGAGAAAGACAAACAATGACTGTGAATTATAAGTGTGCATGTCTGTAGTTCCAGCTACTCAAGAGACTGAGGCAGGAGGATCACTTAAAAGTCCAGGAATTCGAGGCTGCAATGAACCATGATCATGTCACTGCACTCCAGCCTGGGCAACAGATTGAAACCATGTCTCTGAAAAAATAATAATAAATAAGTGCTTGACTGACCCAGTTATCCCAGTGTGTCAATTGAATAAAATCTTTCTTTTGTTATTTAATTTTTTTATTTTTTGTAGAGACAAGGCCTTGTGATTTTGCCCAGGCTGGTTCCAAACTCCTGGGCTCAAGCTATTCTCCTGTCTTGGCCTCCCAAAGTGCTGGAATCACATGTGTGAGCCACTGTACCCTGCCAGAACTTTCTCTTTTAATAACTTCTGTATAGCCAGAAGGTAAATAACAACCTGCCTAGATCTGTTTCTTTAGCAGAAATGATAGTAAAACCCTCAGTTTTTTTCCCTTGGAATTACAAAATATAGCACATGTGAAAATACTGTGTAAGTATGAGTCACTCTGTAAATATTAGAGTTAAGGTCATCTCCAAAAACCCATAACTTCTAACAACCTTCTTCAATATATACCTCTCCCAAAGGGCTTAAAAAGTGTTTCCACATTAAATCAAGTTGACTTGCTGGAGTCAGAGCACACAACACCTCTTATAACCAGCAGCCTCATTTTCATGGGTGGATCGGCTTCCACTATAAAGCAGGCATTGGGTTGGCTGGGCATGGTGGTTCACATCTATAATCGCAGTACTTTGGGAGACCAAGGCGGGAAGATTGCTTGAGCCCAGGAGTTCGAAACCAGTCTGGGCAACATAGTGAGACCTCGTCTCTACAATAAATGAAAAAAATAGACGGGAGTTGTGGCGCAGGCCTGTAGTCCCAGCTACTTGGAAGGCTGAGGCAGAAGGGTCACCTGAATCCAAAATGTCGAGGCTGTGGTAGCCATGATGTATCACTGTACTCCAGCCTGGGCAACACAGTGAGACTCCTACTTTAAAAAAAAAAAAAAAATAGGCATTGGTAAGAGACTGACAGTATTTTGTAACAGCAACAACAAAATTCTGGCCAGGCATGGTGGCTCACGCCTGTCATCCCAGCCCTTTGGGAGGCTAAGGCAAGGGAATCACTTGAGCCTGGGAGTTTGAGACCAGCCTGAGCAACATAACAAGGCCATATCTCAATAATAATAATAAATAAAAAGTCTATTCTTTGAACAAGCATTTATTATATCAAAAGTTGTTTTACATGTTGGGCTTGGCTAAACTGCTCTCAGAGCTGCTGACTGCTGTTTTTAATCCATGGTGCCTTTCCCAGGTGGTTAATTTCTGGTGAGAACAGTGTTCCTCAGTTCTGCACTGAGCCCAGCAG